ATGCATTTTTACCTGGAGATCTACAAGAGTATGTATATATGATTCAACCTCTGGGTTATGTTATTTTAGGCCCGGAACAATTACTGTGTCGTTTTAAGAAAGCATTGTATGACTTGAACAATCACCACGTGCTTGGTTTGATAAGTTCAGTGCCATGGTACTTCAATTTGGTTTTCAACGCTCTACATCAGATCACTTATTTTTCATTCGTCGGTCTTTTGTAGGCATTATTATTGTTATTGTGCATGTTGATGACATCATCATTAGTGGTGATGATTCATACGGTATTATCCACTTCAAGGCCTACTTGGGAAAATAGTTTTATACTAAACATTTAGATCTTTTTCAATATTTTATGGGGATTGAGGTTGTCTAGTCAAATGAGGGTATTAGTTTGTGCCAACAAAATTACATGCTAGACTTATTTTCTGAAACTAGTATTTTTGGTACGTGTCTGCTAGATACACCTATGGACCCTATAATTAAGTTAAATCCTAAGAGTGGTAAAGTTTTTGATGATATAGGGCATCATCGAAGGTTGATTGGTAAGTTGATTTATTTTTCAGTTATATGCCTTGATATTACATATGCTGTTGGCGTGGTTAATCAGATCATGCATGCTACTTGTAAGCCTCATTGGGAGGCTGTCTGCTGCATACTTAGGTACCTGAAAGGAGTTTTGGGAAATGATTATTATATTGTTCATCATCATCCATACCTGTGTTTGATTTTCCTAATGACCAGGGAGGTAGTCATAGTGATAGAGGCTCGACTTCTGAATATTGTACATTTGTTGGTAATAACCGGTAACCTTGTTACTTGGTGTTGTAAGAAGCAGAACGTGATTACTTATTCTAGTGTAGAGGCTGAGTGTCATGCTATAACATATACTGCTTGTGAGATGTTATGGGTTCGTTTTTTATTTTGTGATGTGAGATTACGCTGTGAAGATGCTTGTGACAACCAAACAAGTATTTTCATCATAAGTAATTCGGTATTTTATGAGAGTATCAAACACATTGAGGTGGATTGCCATTTCATTTGAGATCTCGTGATATTTTTTCCAAGTCATTGGCTCGGTTTGTTTTTAGTAGTTTATGTTTCAAGGCAACATTTTTTTATTTTTATGCTCTTGCTTGTGGGCAAGTATTAGAGTTTTTAGTTTCTGTATTGGATGTTAGTTAATTAATGCTGGGTTACGAAGCACAAATACTTCCCCAGGGTGCCGTGGCAGCGGTAGACACCAGTCCAACACGGTTAAAAGTGTCCTGAATAACGAAATCAGTCGAACACGGTTTGAATACGATCAAGACACGAGTAGGACACGACCCATATTTTTTTTTTAAAAAAAAATGATAGCTAACTATAAAGAGGGGTGTGATTTCTTTATTTTTTATTTGTGTTTTTCATTATGTAACTCATATACTATGAATGTTAATGAATGTAATGATGTTTAATGAAAATAGTGGATGTTTTTTTTGATCTATTTTAATTTTAATCAAAAAAATAATATTTGCTAGGTCTTATTATTAATATTTTTATGAAATATATTTTATTTATAATATAATATAATTCTATTATGATCTAAAAAATATTATATTATTTTTATTAGTCATATCTTTGTGGTCCCTGAATTTTGTTGTATCTTCGTGTCCGTATCGTATCGGATACGACACCCGTGTTTATATTTGTGCTTCCTAGGTGTAGGGTAATATTGTAATTGTTTGAATATTACTCGGTTATAAATAAGAAAATGTAGGGTAACGTAACATACACAACTGATCATTCCTTTTGTCTTTGCCTCGTCTTTTTTCTATCTTCTTCCTCGTTTTGAACCCTAATATTAAATTTACTATTTCGACTATTTTCACCCCAGTTTTGTTTGTATTTCTTCTTTATGTATTAAGTCCATGTCTTTGGCCTATCAACAAACTAATGACTGATCAATGTTAAGTTGTCTTCTTGTTATTTCTGCAATTTAATATTCCTTACATGTAAGTTTCAGCTGTTGTTAATTAATATGGGTAGGAGCCGAGCCAGAATACTTTTGTAGTGGGGCCAACTTATTACTTATTCATAAGTTGAAACCATAATGAACCAATCAACCGAGATAATATATTCTGAGTCATAATTTATTCTAGTCAATTTCAAATATTAGAATCTAATTTTTACGAAAGCAAAAATTAATAATTCAATTATTGAGAGAGTAGTAGAGCACTGACTAAGGTAGAAATTTAAAGAGAATAGTCAAATAAATGACAACCAGTAAACTCGTCGCGATTTCACAAATAGATATTGAATGATAATAATTGATGACTTGGTGTGTAAGGAAAAGAGAGAATTGAAGATAAAAGACATATAGCCAACTTAATGTTGAAAAACAAAAAAAAGAAGAGAGGGTGGCAATGTTAAATCCTATGAAAGACGGGTAAGTCTAAATTTTTAATTCATGAAAGAATCTAATTTTTGACTAAAAAGGAATAGTGCTATTGGTGTCTAAAAATCTATCCTAAAATTTTGATTTAATGACGCGACAGTGGAGATGTTAAAGTTGTATTGTCCTAAGTAGAACCCTTGGATTTACTTTTTGAGACCACATCACTTGGCATACTAGATCAGTAAATTAGTTTAGATTTTTAGACCCAAAAGTGTTATTGAATCATAGAAGTCTCAATAAATTTATACAAATGTTTCGAGGGAGCAAATTTTTAAAAATTAAAAATCTATAAACATTTCAAAATTGCCCAAATTTTTTTTCAAAATTGCACTGCCCCCTGTGTAAATCTGCCACTGAATATGGGACAAGCATTACGCAACATATTCTCATTATTTCACATTTGATACTTTTTCACTGGTGTTTGTTTTCCTAAGTTTGACAAATAAAATGTTTGATTGCAGGATGTAAGACGGGATCAGCAACCGTCTAAGGTATACAATTCCATCCTATAGATTCCTGCTACAGAATCATGAGCTAGACAGCTAGATATGAGGCATAAAACAATACATAAATGTTGACATATGGCATGATGGGCGTCCCTTCCCCTCTGTTTTTTATTTCACAGTTTAGGATATAATGCATATCTTTTGTTGAAGAAGCCTTTCACAAGTATTGTCTACCATTAAAACGGTTGATGAGTGGTTGTTGGTCATCTAGGAAGTACGGATACTTATAAGAGATATGGGTACGATACAATACAAATATGATGACATGAGAAAACTCTAAAAAATAGGATACGGAAGGAGCCCGGATACGTCTATAAATATATATTTATATTTTTACTATTATGTAATGACTTGATAGTTATAATTTTTAGTGATTTTTTAATAATAATAAATAACATTAATAATTTTTTATTTTCAAAAAGTTACCTATCGTCTCACTAGGTACATCTACAAAGTGAACGTGATTAATTAAAGAATAAGAACCAATATTTAACTATATTATTTGATTAGAAGTATTTGTTGTTAAGATTATAGAGTAATCAACTCATTTAATCTTTTTGGACATGTGATAATGGATAACACGTGAAAAATACCTGTCTTTCAAGTCACATGAATTTTTGTTGATGCATTGCATTGTATAAAAAGGAAGCGGTAAAGATTAAAACTAAAAATTACACATACTGCTCTGATATAAAAATATCCATGAAGTATCTATATATTTTATTTATTATTGGATATGTTTGGTGTGTATCCGATACATATCCTCGAGTATCTGACGAATATTATCTCAGGTACGATATCCAATACGAATACATTGACCTTAATGAACTAGCCTTGCTTCATATTTGGCCATCCTTCATGAACCATATAGGAGATCAGTTAAATTCAATGGAATTGAAACAACGTATGTACCTGTGCCTTCTTCCCAGTGGCAAGGGGCCTTGCCTCTTCCCTGCTTGAGCCTGGTTTGCAAATATGATTAAGATGTTTCAAAAAAAAACCCACATATATTGCAGTGCTTGTTTCAATTTGGATTGCTTTTTATTTTTAGTATCTAGAGGATTACATCAATTCAACTTCGAGGGAAACTTTCTTACTAGATTAAGTTACAAAAAAAAAGAAAAAAATAGTCTGTCTATATTTAGTTTCTTCATGCTGTTCTGAGATTCCACATGCTGCATTTAGCTATCTTTAATTAAGATCCCCATCCTCCCTTCCTTCACTTTCTCGAATAATTAAGAATTACAGGGTAAAGTAGGGGAAAAACTATGAAGCATGCATGTTTCTGACTCGGAGTTTAGAGCCTTCTGTTTCTTTGCAAGAGGGCTGCTCACCAGGACGTGTTGTGAAAACTTTAGTTTTGAGATTCCAATTGTGAAGTCTGAGTTCCAATTTATCCCGACATCTTCAGTGCATAAAAATTTTGGAAGACATTTCTTTTAATTTTTAGCATCTCTAACCTAAAAAGGGAACTTTGGGTCAGTAAAGGATGTGGTTATGCCAGAATGACTACAATAATGCTATAGCTTGTGGTGTTGTTTCCTGTGTTTAGGTTGTTTTTAAAACTAAGGAAAGATAGAAGGGAGCTGCTTTTAGAGGAGCCATCTTTTGAGGTTTTTGAAAATGTTTTAATCAAAACTTCACTTAAATACACCTAGGGTGCGCCTGATGGTTTCATGAGCACCAATATGCCTGGCGTACTGATGATATGTTAGGTGATGGCCATAGTTTTTTTTTTTTTTTTTGTGGACCTTCTATACAAAATAGACATATTACTCTATGATGCCACATAAATTATTAGACTTTCACAGGACAACCATACATCCATCCACAACAAATGAAGCTATTGACCTGTGATTATCATTCATGAAACAATTCTTATGTTACTTTCCGGAAAAAAACATGCCTTTTGTGCTGGTTTCTATGAGCTTCTTGCATGTTCCTCCTAATTTGCAAGTCTTTTTTTGTTTCATATTCTACTTATTTATTTAGTTTCAATTTCAATTGTTGGTGTAAGCTTATTGATATTGTATATATTGAATGCAGAATTATATCAGATATGCAACCCGTCAAAAACGTGCTGACACAAAGAAAGCTCTGAAGGATCTCTTATTCAGTGGTGGGTCCCCCAAAGTTACATTTGAGGTGGGCATTTTATTTTAAGCTATTTGACAGGCAACCCAATTGAAATTTTCTTTAGATGCTTCAATTGTGTATTACGCTGCAGCTGCAGTGCATGTATTGTGCTCCTAGTTTACTTGTAGCCGACTTCAGTTTGCCACTCTGAATCAACTCTGGAATTGTACAAAAACTAGTGTCATTTGTTTTTTCTCATTTTGGGTGGCCAATGGGCGTATGGTTGAGGGTGGTTGTGTCAATTATTGTTCAGATTTTCTCAACAGAATAAAAACTGTTTGGCAGCATGCTTATACCTAGAAACAGATCAATCCTGTGAGTTGGAAAATACAATATGAGCACATTTCTTTCCCAACTTGATGTTAATGTCATACAACAAATTGTCTTCTTATGCTTGATTTCATCTTTTTGTTTTTTTTTTTTTGTTTTTTAATATTTTGTTTGTTTATTGCAGCATAGCAGAATGCCTAAGTAGAGGCAGACACCATATATAGGTTACGTTTCAAAATTTATGGATTGTAGTTGTTCTATTAATGTTTTATGGACCAGAAATTATCATTAACCAGAATTTGACAACTATTTGGGCATTACTACAATCCCTTTTTCTAGTTTTCAGTTTTTCAAAGACCAAACAACCTTTTTGCAAATGCTTAGTCATTCCAGATTTGTCCATTGCATGTCTCTTCTTGTCACGGTGCATTTATTTTGCCAGGGTATTGACATGTGCTGTATTACACTCTTTTCTGGTTTACATAGGATGAATTCCACAAAACAAATCATACACGCAACTGGGCTGCAGACCCGGTAAATCATTCAGACAGTGCAGATACAAAAGGTCATTCAAAGTCTTCTACTCGCCGTGCTAATAAAACTCAAAACAAAAGAAAGAAAAGTGAGATTATCTTTTTCATTATTTCTTTCCTCTTCTTGTTTCTCCTTCTTGTAACTAGTTGGCCCACAAGTGCATTGCACGTGGACAATTCAGATATATAGTTTTGGTTATTAATTTGTTTTGAGGGTCATTGTCTACATTTATTGGTAGAGGGAGGACTGATTTCCTTGTTCAATATAAGTATATAACTGCTCTCACACACATGGAAGTAGGAGTATGAAACTGATTATGATTGACGGGTTTTTATTTGTTAAATTCGTTAACCTTTTGGAGTTTATTTGTTAGTAATTGACATTGAGATATAGTCAGTAGTAATCATCTCTTTCTAGGGCACTTAAAATTTTCAGCAGAATTATGTTTTGAAGTAAGGCTGAAAATTATTTGGTAGAGATTTCAAACATATGTTTTTATTAATCACAATAATAGATGTTAGAAATGTTTCTTTAGAGAAGTAACCATCCTCTTGGTTTTTGGTTTGTTCAATTGTTGAAATTTTTTCCATACATACTGCCTCTTGATTTTGCAGATGCAATAACTTAAAATAGTTAACTCTCACAAACTCTGCCCCACTTCTTGTGCATATGCAATTTTTGACGGATTCATGTTTTGTAATTACCTCATTTCGCCTCTGCTGGTCATGTCACTGATTCCTTTTGAGTGAATGTAAAAAGTCAAATATTGCATTGAAGTGTGACATGGATGTAATACCCCAAAATCCATCCTGGAAGTCATTACTATCTATAACAATTCATATTATGAGATAACTAATAAAATCTATAAATAAAAGAAATTTCATTCATCATCCATAATAACTAAAGTATCATCCAAAACAAATATGCTAATCCATGACAATTATATCCAAAAATCAAATATTGCTTTTCACCGGAATAAATAAAATATTATCCTTAACATTGTCTTAAAATTAATCTCTCAATGTAGAACATAAAGGAAACAACTTTAAATGTCCATTTCAAGATTCCCATTCCTATCAATTTGAGCTTCCCAATTTACCTACTAATCTAATCCGAGCTCTTCCTCTAGATGGTAATCTAAAAAAGATGTTGTTTGTAAGGGGTGAACACTAAATTCTATAGGAAAATCCTCCCAAGCTCGAACAATGTTTTGAAAACTTATAAAACTGGTTGGTCTCATTTTATAAAATATCATATATAATTTTTGAAATAAAACACGACAATTCATTAGATCTCAAGTTTATGTAGTAGCAATAAATTAAATGAAGAAGTAAAATTAACTTTCAGATAACAAATCATTACTAACACTGTATCTCAGGTATGTAGTAAGATTTATAATGAATACTCATATTGAGAATATCCTGGTTCACCCCCTTCCCCCCTCCCCAAAAAAAAAAAAAAGAATATCCTGGTCCACACACACACACCCAATACCTGCAAAGATACACAATTTTAAGAAGGGCGTATACCTATTCATCAACAGTGACGAATCCAACCTATGAATAGTATATTAACCCTTAGTTTTGATACTTGTGAGCGAATAGTGGTTTGGTAGACACCAACTCCACTACAAGTGGTAGGGAACCTTCAATCTCACTCGAAGTAAGAAACACATCTATTTACTTTATGATACCCGGTCAATAGTCATCCATGCTCGTCAAAACATCTACATAAGAGATATAATACCAAACCAATTCACCAAATCACATGTAAATTAAGAACTATAATTCCACAGGTATTTTTTCAATAGAACAATTCAAAAAAATATGCTAGAGATCATCAAGAAATATAATTTTATTGTTCGAACAAAACACTAGAGTTTTTAAATCAAGAACAATGGAATATCAAAGTAAAATCTATATTTCTTGAAAATTAGGGTTTTGATAACAAGAACAAGAGTTTTTATGGCTATCAAATGATAACCTTATTCAAGACATGATATGATTTGCAAGAAAATCAAGAAATAATGATTTCATAACATATACATACAATTTAAAATTAAAACATACATATATATTAACCCTAATCTCAATGAACAAGTTTAGGAAGAAACCCTTACCTTGATTCTTGAGATCTTGATCATAATGTATTTTGTTGCGATTATCCCACTTTAATCCATCAAGATTTAGCCTTATTCTTTCTCCTTTTCTTCTCTTCAAACTTTTCTAGGATTTTTGGCGTTGAAATATAGGTAAAAACTCTTTACATCATGGCCATTGGATATTTATAGGCTGAAAAATAGAGAATTCCCGTGTGGGCACCGGTAGCAGTTTGCCCCAATCGTCTAACTCGATTTTGACCTAGTTAGAGGTCGATTCATGAAATTTTTGTGAAATACACTTTTATACCCCTTGAAGTGTTGTTTCTACTATAAAAATTTTAGGTCAATCGGACATTAGGATAAAAATTTATAACCAAAATACTAGGATTATGTCAAATTCTTTTCTACCCAAATCCTCTCTAAAATAGGTTTTAACTTTATAATACTTTCAAACTTCTAATACAACTCATATAATCTCTTCAAATATTTTTCGATCTTCCGGATTCAATAGAAATTTTATTTTTACCTAAAAATATTTATAAAATTACGTTAGCCACCCTTCTCAAACTTAAACATTTACAAAACTCAATTTACCAAATATTCTTGAAACTAAAACTTTATAATCAATATTTTAACAATGATTCTAAGTTTTTACTATCATTTTATTCATCTTAGTAGAACTTTTAAGATAATATTATCCTTATTTAATTTTAATACGGGGTCTTACAATAAATGATTGTCATGCATGGTGTTCCAGTTTGTTCTGATGGGACAATTCATATGACAGCAAGAAATGAAAGTGATGCCTTCATTTTGATCGATTCGCCAAAAAAGCTGAAATTTGCAATGGTATGGGTGTATTTGACTTTGGGAGAAATGTTTGTAAACAATTAAACCAAATTCCAAGGAAGATTGATATGGTGACTTCCAGCCCTTATTCTTGTTCCTTCCTTGTAATGTTGTTGCCAGCACCAGTGTCTCCCAAAAAAATTTAGCCATTCTATTTTTTTTTTGGTGTAAACCATCCAGTGTCCGGTAGCCACAACGGGCTCTGATTAATCCGAATTCGAGCTGGACAGGACCACAAGTGTGGCAAAGCTCTCCCTACCGAGTATTTAACACTGCAGTATTTCCAAGTCTCAAACCGAGGATCTTGGTTAAGCTAGAACAACCCCAAGCCAGTTGATCTACGTGCTCGGTGGTAAAATTTAGCCATTTAGAAGTATATAAACCCCCACTAACTTACTTTGGTCTTAAAATGCACTTTATGCACTATTATATTGTCTTAAATTCATGTAAATGCATGTGTTTATACATGCTTGTAGTTAGGCCCAGTTATTCTGCACATGCAATAACCAAATGAAATTGTTGATAAGAGAATAATTTGTTTAGACACCTTTGACACCATAGTATTAAACCTCTGTTTGAGAATTTGCCATAGGTTGAGCTCAATGACAATAATCAATGTGTCTATACTAATATTTAGAGTTTGAGACTGCAGTTCTCAAATTTTTTTTTATCATTTGATTCTTATTCTTTTCCAAATCTATGATATTGCGTCACACTGGGTTAATATAAATAGATACATTTATACAACAGAGCATCGTAGCTATGAGTCTTCTTCTTTTTCAAAAGGTCTGCAATTCTATGATGTTGCGTCACTCTGAGTTAATACAAATATATAGAGCATCATACCTACGTGCCTTCTTCTTCTTGTTCAAAGGGTCTGTTGCAGCTGAAGATCTTGCTGTTGCTTTTTGTCGATATCATGTGTATTGTTTGCTTCATAAAGCTACCTCTAATGTCCATTTCTTAGAAAGAGAATCACAATGCCAAAGCTATGATGTTTTATCATTTGGTGATACATAGTTCGTTCTGTATTTTGATTGTTGCCTGCATTATAATACTGACAAAATTGCCTTTATTTACATTCAGGTAAATTTCGGCGAGAGACTTTCTTTGAAGATTTTGATGAACATCCTGAGAGAATTTTTCAAGCAACATTTGGAACCAGGTGGTATACCTGGTCTTTCAGGTTATGGGAAGAGTCTTCTTTTCAAAGGTCTACACCTGGGTCTGACTGGAGAGAGCATTCGAACTGCACTAGCAGTAGAAGTAAAGAATGGGACAGTACAAGTGGTACTGAGTCTGAGGATGAATCATGTACTGTAGGCTCATGTTCTGAAAGAACAATACTTGGTTTGCCTCCAAATGGTCCTTTAAAGATTGAAGATGTTAAAAATGCGTGAGTATTTCGATGTTTTTATTGCAGAAAATAGATGTCTTTGCATGGTCACTCCGCCCTAGCCAGATCAAGCAATATATTGGCATTGTTTAGATATTTGAAATTTTGATCACTCAGACAAGTTTCCCCTTGTGCAGTTTTCGGTTGTCAGCTTTGAAGTGGCATCCTGATAAGCATCAAGGTCCCTCACAGGTAGTTTTTATCTGGTCTCCACTTATTTTTACTAATTACCGAGGTTCATGGATGTTTGACGGTATCAAAAGATTAATATGTATTAGATCATGTGTTATGAAATCTTCAAATTACATGGATACCCTGTCAGGGATTCTAGCTCAATGTATATGTGTCATCGTCATGATTTCCTCTTAGTTAGTTCCAGACGATGGCCTATGCCTGAGTTGTTTGGCCAAAAAATGTCAAATTGATGAATATTTCCTCTTTCTACCTTTTACTAACTGTCATGAATCTCCCAGAGGATATATCCGTGTTGTTGATTTTCATAGGTTTTGATGCATTTAGTGGATGGATCATCTGTAAAAAGTATTATAAACTTTTGATTTTGGTTCGCAGATCGGTAATTTGGTTGATTCCAACTTGTAATTCTTCATGAAGTTAGCAATCCATCACAGACTGATACCGACAATGTGGCTTTTTTCTAAACAAAAAAAAGAGGATGGACCCAATCCTTTTACTATTTTGCACAAGATGACCCAATTTTTCTGAATCCCTCAATAAATTGCGCCTAGAATGATACTTGGATATTGTTTAGTTACTTTTTCTTGAATTTGCAGGTGTTTAAAGTATTCATTTTTTTTTATTTTACTTAGAAGTTCTACTTTTTTCTGAATAAAGGACATGACATTGGTTCATGGATTTGTGCAGGACATGGCAGAAGAGAAATTCAAGCACTGCGTCAATGCGTACAAATCACTGTGCAATGCGCTCTCCACAGCAACCTCTAGGTTTAGTTTCTGATTCATTTAGCTCCAAACTATATTCATTTAAAATTGATTTTTAGTTATAAAGGTGTGGAATATATTTTCTTCATAAGCTAAAGTGCAAGTGTAATGTTAATATCTTTTCTTCATAAGCTTAAGTGCAAGTGTAACGTTAATCAGAAAAAAAGAATTTGTAGCTCCTGCTATTGTGCTACATTAGTCTTTTGTACTGAGACCTATAGTCGCACTCACTGTGCTGATACAGTTATTTTTTAATGGTTTCACCAAAAAAGAATAAAAGAAGAATAACGTGATCCAACAATTCAAAATACCTTCTCATCAAATGGTCGAGGAGAACACTATTTTAAATGCAATGTGTATTTGAGAATAATTGATTTTGATTATATGTGGTATCAATTTGAAACTCAAGCAAACTGACAGAAATGCCGATGGGCATTGGCATGCCTCTGCGTGGAGAAAATAATCTATTCTTTCCAATTCAGACCAAATCATGTACCTTTGTAGTTTGAACATGTGAAACCTTCCTGAAGATACCCAAAAACCATTGGTTTTATGTTTATCCCACCAATCCACACATCGAGTTCAAGTCTCATACCCCTACTCTGTGCAGGCGCAAAATGGTAATGATAGGAAGTGTGTAAAACTATCGTCTAAGGCTCATAGTGAATGCACTATAATTTCTATAATTTGGTGTCTTTTTGGCTCTAAACTATGATTTGATACTTTGATCTTCTTTTAAGCTTTTGTTAGCTAATTTGATAACAATTAAGGTGGCAAGATGTATTTGCATATTAATCAGTATAGGCTGGGATGAAAGAAGTGTTTCATAAGGAGAATATAAAGCAGAAACTCTAGGCTGTTTGGCTAAGAGGGCTAAAGCAATAGCTTCTAGGGTGGAAATAACTATTTCTTTATCATTCTGGTTGGGACTTGGGGGATACTGAAGAAATTTTTGGTTCTAAGCCAGCCATTCCTTCCTATATGCCATGGTGTGCCCCAAATTTCTGGTTGAGCTGTCTGATTTGATGGATTTATGCATTGGTTAGAGAATTTTAGCAGCAATTTAACTGCTTTAATCTTGGTACATTGGCTAAGCAAGGATGACATTTGATTGACACATACTCTGAAGGTTGTACTCTATTCAAAACGGCTGCGTGTCTGATTATTCTGGTACTTGTTAGCCCGTTGGTTTCACCACCGACATACATGGTCATTAAGAGAGAGAAGTATTTGAACATCTAGGTTTTTAGGGGAGTCTGTTATACATAAAATATCAACTGTTAGAATTAGTATACACATATACATGCATGTGTCTACTAGCAGATGAATAAATACACACACACACACACACACACGCAGAGAGAGAGGTTTACACTAAAGTTGGAGAGGAACTGAACGTCAGTTGCATGATACTTAGAGCATAGTGGCGCTAAAAAATAATTAACGTCTGTTACATATTGTTGAACGGATATTTCTGATACTTGGTGTTCAGATTGTAATTTAGGCATGAAATATAGAATAAAACTTGGTTATTGCCTTTGGGTGGACAAGATGCACTCAGAAATTTAGTGGCACTTGATTAGGGAATTGCACATGTATACAAATTTGGAGAATGTGATCCTAAAACATCCAAAGCATTAAACGATCAAAGTAAATGAAAAACATTGTTGCATCTTAGAGTTCTTCTTTGTGGGAGATTAATTGTTGGAGATTCTTATTTGAGTTTTCTTTGTAAATTTTTTCCCTCTTTTTTCCACTAATTTTTTTTTTCTTGTTGGGAGATTGCTAGAAATAAGGATTGTGCCATGGTCTATTATGTTATGGGTTGAATTATTATATTCTAATGGATTATTTTACTGTTCTGAAAATAGTTGCAAAGCTGTAAATGCGGGGTGAGGGTATAATGGAATGAGGGCTCCTCCAATACATTTTTTTTTTTTAATTTTGTTTCTTGATTGATCATCTACCAAAAATTCAAGTTAAACCCATTATATACGTAGATTTCTCACTTTCTAACAATGGATGACCCATTACCCATCATGTATGACTTGGGTCTTTTTGTACCTATAAAACAATGTGAATTGACCCTTATATTCAATTTAATTGGGTGCCCCACTTATAGTTAGAAAACAATGTGAATCGACCTTTGTCTTTCTTTATACTAATTATACTTTTTTAATTAAAATGGGACATCAATATACATCCTTCGGTAGGAGTGAATATTGGGTACAATGGTTATACCATGTCAGTATATACCATGTCAGCACTACTGACATGGTATAACCGTCTAATAAGAAAAGAATAAAAAGAGTAAAATAGGGCCTTCCTATCATAGAGGTAATTATATATAACATGGCTAGGTAGTTAAGTGTTTGAGTGAGATCTATTGGTTGATTTGTTCACATATTAATGGATTGTTACACCATGTGGCACTGTTGACATGGTATAACGATTACAATCAATATTTTCTCCTTTTATAGAGGGAAGCCAGCAAGAGGAGAAAGTTTGACATGTTAATTTGTTTATCATCCACATAACCTAGATTGATTCCTGATACCTTCGAATATACTTGTAGTCATCTTTTTCCTGTAGTCCCATGTCTATTAGTAGAAGGCCTGTTTTTTGTGTAGTAAGTTTCATTTGAATTTGTGAATTAGAGGAACGATTCAATTCTATAGAATGATTTCCACTACTGAAATTGATGACGATGATCTACAATTAAAAAAATATTATATTAGAAAAGATCCAAATTAACTTAGTTTGTGCATTGGCCCTATTTAGTCTTCTGATATCCAATACCAACATTTTTTCCTTTTTTTTTGGGTGCTGAATACGGACATTTCCATGCACAATTTAACGTAGATTTTTTTTTATCGTAAATTTTGACTAATCTAAATCAATTGCAAAATGAAGTTCAGGGACACATGAAAAGACTGAATTTGCAAGAGTAATTTCTTAAGACATTAGAAAAGCATAATAAATGGAAAACACAATTTGTCTAGCTTCTTGCATGCAAGAATTTGTTCACCAACTTGCCCAAATTCACCGAGGATGACCCATCTGGACCAGCAGCTTTTTCTGCCAGTTTCTTCCACTCCATAGATTTGTTCATCATCTTCTTCCCTTGATCTCCACCAATCAATTCCCTCACCAATCTGTCCACTGTGTCTCTCCTAACATCACTCTCAATCTCCATCCCAATCTCCCATTCATTGCAAGTGTACCTACAATTTGTCTGTTGGTCTGAGAAATGAGGCCAACACAGCATAGGCACTCCAGCACATATGCTCTCAATAGTGGAATTCCACCCACTGTGTGTCAAAAACCCGCCCACTGATGGGTGGTTCAGGACTTGTTCTTGTGGACACCACCTTGCTAGCATGCCTCTTTCTTTTGTTTCGATGATGAGCTCCTCTGGGAGAATTCCCAACCCACCAGCAACAAGATCAGGCCTAATTATCCACAGGAAGTTGCATTTACTATTAGCAAGTCCCCAGCCAAATTCTATCAGCTGCTCAGGGGTCAATACTATTAAGCTCCCAAAGTTTACGTAAATTACGGAGTTGGGTTCTTTCGAATTCAGCCATTGTAGACACTCTGGTTCTTCTTTCCATAGGTTGTATCCGATCGATTGTAAATGCTCTTGATCATTTGATGTTTGATTCAGGAGTAATTCAAGGGGCCCGATGCTATAAACGAGTGAAAACATTTTTGACATAGCATCAAGAACATCTTGCTCTAATGCATCAAAAGTATGAACAACAATTGCTGAAGCTCTGGAAGCCCCCTCAACGGCTTCCATGCAAGAGTTGAACATCATGTCGTTTGGATCTGTAGTCCTTACAAAGCTGGGGAGATCCTTCAGACGTATATCTTTCATTCCTGGAATCCAGTCTATTATTCTATCTAAGTACCCATTTGTTAGATAGCTTTCATCTGCAAATACCATAATATTAGTATGAACATTAATAGAGTCGTATCATATTTGAGTCATGTCATTTTGTTTCGTGTTGTGTTCGTGTAATTAGAAAATTGTTGGACAGTTCATACAATACTATATAAAGAATAAAGAAACAAAAATATATGTTCATTTCTCTTTCAATACAAGCTAAAGGGTTATTTTAGTCTAACAATGACCTGAACCATCCATTATTCACATTAATAAGTCGTGTCATGTACTAGTTCGATATCGTCTTCATGTCAATAGGTAAACTTGGCACCCCTAAACTTATCCTAGCCACATGCATTTTTAGAATTCCTATTGCAATTTGAACTCAACTCTCAATATGAATCCTATTTTCTTTTACACCTACCACAATTTGGAACTGAAATTATTTGTTGAAATTAACAGATACAATGATACATACCTTTGAGTGGTGTTAGTCCCTTTTCTAACAGAGCTCGAAACTGATAGAACCCCATGAATGCACAAGCAGGACTTGGAAAGAAAATTATCCATGGGATTCCTAGTTCTTCAGCAGCTGTAACAGTAAATGACATGGATAAGTCCGAGACGATACAGGTAACCGGAGGGACGTTGGAAGACACAGTGTCATTGAGTTTGGCGAGGAGGTCGCGAAATGGAGGCAATAGGTACCCTTTGGCAATGACCTGAGCGAGAGCAAAGAGGTCTTGATTGGCATCGGATTCGGATAGAGGGAGACCATCTGGAATGGTTTTGAATCGAAAATCGGGTAGTTCCTCGAGAGAATTGGATCCCATAGATTTGAATAAGCGTTTATGATTGAACTCTGTGTTGACAAAGGTTATGTTGAAGCCTTTGTGATGGAGGAGTTTTGCTAGTTTCATCATTGGTTTAATGTGGCCTTGTGCCGGTACTGGTATACATACTGCATGAGGCTTATCAGCTACAGCTACAGAACTCATTCTCTCCCCCCCCTCTCTCTCTCGCTCTCTCTCTTAATGTTTGTTGTGTGCAGACTGCTAAGGCCTTTATATGCGAAGATTAATGACCTTATGACATCCTCAACCAAAGATTTTCCTTGTCAAAGAGGC